TATATATATATATATATATATATATATATATATATATATATATATATATATATATATATATATATATATATATATATATATAGTTTTTATATAACTGATCATTCACTTTGAAAGCATTTCAACTTAAACAATTCACCATTTGAGGATGGCAGACAAATTTCTATCATGCTATTTGTTTATGCTAACACATGGAAAAGGTGCCATTGACACCAATCCCTTGAATTTGAACAAAGTATCAACTTCATAAATATATGTATAAACAAATACAACTTAACAACAACAACAAAAAAATCATACTTACACAACTTGAATCAAATGAGTACACCCACCAATATCAATTCTTCAGATTGTGACCAAGTATCAAATTCCAAGATGTACACATGAACAAATAAAATTATGAACAGTCTCCACAATCATGTCAATGGGAAGGAAAAAGAATGAACATGAGATGCATATAGTAGATTCATTTATATTCTCAGAGGCCTCCAAAATATCGATATGCTTCGACAAAAGAGAGAGTTTTATGCATAAAGAAATACACAACATAGTTGTTATGTTGCTGAATCCAGCTTTTGCATTGATACCAAAAGATCACAAGACTTGCATGCATGTCTTACTTCAGAGTGTTGGATAATGTCGTGAGATCACAACACATTCATATCGTGTCAACCCTTCTTCTACATGTCTGCAATCTTCTGCAAATGTCTTCTATATGCTCACCACTCAACTTCGATTCAACATCCTGCTCTTTCCAATCCAATTAATCAAACCCTTCTCTTCTTCTCCTCCTATATAGAATGCAACCTTTCTTCTCCTTTTCCACCACCAATTCCTCCTTCCTTCTTTGTTCTCATCATCTACGATGGCCACCACATCTGTCTTCATGGTGTTCGGCTTGGCCGCAGTGCTCGTCCTGACAGGCCCCCTCGTACAGGCCCAGCCTGAAGCCGCTCCTCCCGCCCCCGCCGGCCAGCTCAACGTCACTGCCATCCTCGCCAAGGGCGGGCGGTACACCTCCTTCATCCGCCTCCTCCGCCAGACCTAGGTGGACGAGCAGATCAACAGCCAGCTCAACAACAGCTACAACGGGCTCACCCTGTTCGCCCCCACCGACAACGCCTTTGCCGGCCTCAAGGTCGGCACACTCAACGGCCTCAGCCAGCAGCAGCAGATCGAGCTCGTCCTCTACCACGTCCTCCCGCGCTACTACAGCCTGACCGCGTTCCAGACCGCGACCAACCCGGTGATGACGCAGGCGTCGGGGAAGACCGGCGTGTGGACGCTCAACGTGGCCACGTCGTCGGACCACCAGGCCAACGTCTCCACGGGCGTCGTCGAGGTTCCCATCGACAACGCCGTCTACGCCGACTTCCCGCTGGTGGTGTACTCCGTCGAGAAGGTGCTGCTGCCGTACGAGATCTTCGGCCCCAAGCCTCCTGCGGCGGCGCCGACGCCGTCGACGAATAAGCCCAGCCCCGCACCGGAGCATACAGCCGACGTAGGGGCGGCGCCACCACCCGAGGGCAGTTCTGATTCCGGGGCAAGCTTGAAAGCAAGGGACGCCGGGTGGAGTTTCATTGCGGGAGTAGGTCTTTTGGGCATTGCAGCGGGTAATCTGCTGTAAGAGCTCGAGCTACAACCGATAATACCATCATTGCATGGCATGACATTGCTGGGTGTCTTCTTCTTCTTGCATTCTTCCTCTAAAAATATTTAATCATATCAAATCAATTATATAATATTTTTTTTCTTGAAAAATAATCTTCTTGATTGATAAATTTTCATATATGTAAATAAAAAATAACTTATTATAAAATATAAAATATTTCTAAATTAATTAAATTTCTATAAATAAAAAGCAAACTACAATTTGAGTGCTACATAAATCCTACTTAGATTCCAATAACTTAGTACAGCAATTACGCTCCACTCTACAAGTGCGTATATCTGCAGTAGGACTTGCACAACATTTGTTCAAACATTCAGAGACAGGTGAAAACTTTCCTGTTGGGTAGAATCAGAATCTGAATTTTTGTGACATGTGGAATCACTTCTGAAACTAAATCAAAATGGCATCAGTACAAACTTCTCTGCCAGAGAATTTGTATCAATGAATAGATATAATGTCTTGAATGAAGACAATTAGTAAATGAAAAGAGCCTTGAGTTGAACAAACCTAATAGCAATACAATGCCCTGAACAAAATGATGTTTCCGGTGATGTTAAATGACAGTGCAAATCTACAATCCTAATCCTTAGCCCAACTTTGAACACAATCCAAAACCTTAACTAGAGACAAATGTCCAATGAGAACCACCTTCTTTGTGTTCCGCAGAACATAGAAACAAGTTACTAAGCACACGATGGCTTTCCTGTTTCCACAAGTCTGAAACCTAAGATGAGCAGCAACCATTGTTCTTAACAGCAGATACATCATCCTTGCTGCCAACATTGACCGTCTGCCCCTTTGGCAAAGCTGCTGAATCATCATCGCCTGCTTCAAGTGCCTTCCTGCTTACCACGCGATAGATCTGGGTGAGCACTTCGGTAAAGGCATCCTCCACGTTTGTTGATTCCAGAGCAGATGTCTCCATAAAGAAGGTGTTCTCCCTCTCAGAAAAGTCTTTTGCGTCCTCAATACTAACAGCCCTAAGATGACGCAAATCTGCCTTGTTACCCACTAGCATGATCGCAATGTTGGTATCAGTGTGATCCCTAAGTTCTTTCAACCATCTCTCTATGTTCTCGAATGTCACATGACGAGTGATATCATAGACGACCAGTGCACCAACTGCCCCTCGATAATATGCACTTGTGATTGCTCTGTATCTAATTTAACAAAGAAAAAGAATTAGTCTGCATATGTTATAAAGCATCTCCAGAGATAGGACTGCACCAAAAAACTAGTACAATGAGAGAATTTTATTGGTTCAACATATCTAAACACAAATGCAAATAACAATGCTTTTCCAGTGAGCTGCCAACTTTAGCAAAATATATTGCAAAGAGACAAAACTGTATATATGAAAAAAGAATCTCATTTTATATCCTAAACTAGGAAACTTTTTCACCATTATAATATTTGGAATGATCGAATAGAGAATTTGACCAAGAAATTGAGATGTACATCATAGTTGACTGATTTTACAGGAAATCGTTAAATGAGCAAAATGAGTACTTCATCGAGCATCATCAACGGAGGCATAAGATATTTGCCAATTGGAAATAAAAAAAAGAGATCCATTTGTCAACTGACACATTACGACAGCTATATTGAGATGATCGACTAAGTTGATACTGACAAGTCTAGCTCTTACAAGCTAAAAAATGAATTGCTAAGCTTATTTCATTTTGCTATCATGTTACGTTGTATGATGGCAAGGTATAAGCCCTTAAAGTTTCAAAAGGCATATATGCGGTTTTATACTGCATGTGCACTATGTGATATCTTGTCTACCTGCGTGAATCAACCACTTGCTAAACACTGATGCACAAGCAAAGATTTCCTAGGTGAATATATCTTTTCTCCAAATAAATGGAGAAGAAACATTTACAATAGAACATTCTATAAGCTTTCGACTTGGAGGGTCACTCTCTAGCTCCACTAGGTCGACCTCTGTAGGATGGTGCTTGAGCAAATAACTTAAACACAGAACATTATCAAAACTGTTTCATGATACATTTATATACATTCAAGTATACTCTAAAAATGCATGTATGAATGCCTTATATTAAAAAAACAAGTTTATTGGTTTCTATATGAATACAAATGTAAGTTAATTGCATGTATGCATCTACATACAAAAAAGAAAATTTCTAAAACTGATATTTGCAAGAATATTATATTTGATAAACTTTTTTCTCATTTGATAAAATAGTGGAAAAATCTTAATGTGACAGAAACAAGTATTGATATTTTGAAAGAGACATATAAAGAGAATTAAATTTAGGTATTTGAGGTGCGTAATGATGGTTTTCCCATAAGGATGGAACAGAATGACATACAGTTCATTACAGTAAAGGAAAAACAATCACGGACAATAGGCTATCAACAATATCCGAAAGCATTCTTAGTACTACATTATTGAATCTATAAATGCATAAACAAATAAGATCACAATAATGTACAGCTTCAAGATAAACTCATAGTAACCTGAGCCCGAAAGGGCCTGATGACGGCATGACTGTGACATTTGCTTCTGCACTGACTAAACGGAAAAGAGGTTTGCAGTGAATGATTGACTCACAGTCACTTGTCAGTGCTTTAAGGGATGGAATGGAACCATGCATACCAATGCAATCATGCAGCGGATCTCTAGTGTTTTTAAAACAAATTTCTCAAAGCTAGAAAAATGATCCCAAACACCACAATAACAACTGAAACGAGTGTTGCACTTGTTCTAAGATTAAAATAAGTCTTCTTTAGTAGTTTGGTCCTTAGGTAGGTCAGAAGATATCGAACAAATTCAGAAAAATTAGGAACTATGTACTGAGACTTAAATTTCATCTGGAATCTACAATAAATGAAAGGGATCATTGTTAGGTAATGCAATAGCGATCGTAAAACATATATTTTTTGTTCTAATAATTAATTTTATTGATACTTTAATACCCCCTCAGGACTGCCCAAACATTTATTACTGAACAAACTTAAACACACACAAAATTTCGAAGAGCACCAGCAGATTCAGAGGAAATATAACATACAATGATCAGAGCGCCGTTGATTTCAAAATAAAGAAAAGATCTTGAACAATGTCTCATGCACAAAGTCTTAAATTTCGTCAAAAGAAACAAAAACCAGATGTGACAACCAGAACCACGTCCCACGCCGGATCTGAAACCGAAGCATCCGAGGCCGACCAATAGAGCAGTCAAAGAAAACGGAAACAAGATACGGGGATATCGGAACAGTAAATTGGCATCCGAACCTCTCCTGACCGGCGGTGTCCCAGATCTGAGCCTTGATGACCTTGTCCTCGACGCGAATGCTTCGGGTGGCGAACTCGACGCCAATGGTAGACTTAGACTCGAGGCTAAACTCGTCCCGCGTGAACCGCGAGAGCAGGTTCGATTTCCCGACCCCGGAGTCCCCGATTAGCACCACCTTGAAGAGGTAGTCGTATTCGTCATCCGCCCTATACGCCATTCCGCCGCTACCACCACTGTCGATGGTCGCAGCAGGATCAACACCGCTTCCAACTCCTCCAACCGGAGGTCAGATGCCGCGACCCATCCGCCTCCCTTCCCTCGGTCTCAGGCGACGAAGTGGCGGGTCGTCGTCGCCGCCGCCGTTAGGGTTCTTGGTACGACACCTAGATTCGGGTTGAGGTTGACAGGAAAATAAATAAGCGGCGTATATATATATATACCTGAGAAGGTTTTGCATATGAACCCTTCAACAGAGTCATATTCTTATATTTACTTATAAATATTGTAACACATAACATTTTATAAGGACCCCTCCACGAAGTGATATTTGTATGTATACCCTTTTAAACTCATGTTTATGCAATATGCCCCTCCACTATCATTTATTTTGCTCGCTTTATCCTTTGCACGGTTGAATTACAAGAAATATTAGTTTTTAACAACTAATTAATTCGATTAAGATATACTTAAATATGATATATGATACGAGGGACTCTCGTATATAGGCAAAACCTTTTATGTGATGATAGAAATTTCTTTACTCACGTGATAGATCATTCC